CCGGCCTCTCGAAAGGAAGAGACCCGGGTGGGAGAGGAAGAGGCGTAGGAGAAAGGGGTGGGTGCGGGGCAGGGTCCGGAGCCCAGCAGAGGAGGAGCCGGGGCCTAGTTGGCGTATGCCGGCGTCACTAGGGCAAAGAAAGGCTAGGGGGGAGGGGGAAACAGGAGGCTCCGGGCTTACGCCGGGCTTCTTTCGGTTTCTAACTCAAAGGTGCGGCAGGAGAGAGAAAGGAAATGAAGAGAAGAGGCTTGATGTATGTCGCTGTCCCCGCAGCTAGAGCTATTCTGTGTCGTCCCTGACGCCACCGTACACTCCGCCTTCCAGCGCGCTCCCGCGCGCGCCCGCCCAGCCAGCCACCACCACCACCACGCGCCCGTGCCGCCCCAGAGTCTCCGGCTTAGGCGCGAGGACGCGCCCATTCCCCCTCCCCCTTAAGCAGGAGAGGCTCCGGCTTCTCCAGCCTTCCCACCCTACCCCACCCAACAGGCTGGTCACTCAAGCCACCCAGGGCCTGTGTTTCCTCTCTTACCCGGCCGGCCAGTGGGCCGGCCACCCTTCCCTTCCCCTAGCCGTCCACACCCACGCGTACTGAGGGGCCGGGGCCTCCCTCAAGCTGCGGCCTCGGCCTCCTCCCCGCGCGGCAGCTGGTGCCTCCCCGGCCCTACGGGGCTCACGCGCACGACACAGCCACAAGATGTCCGCTCTGACGGAACTACTGCCAGCTGCCACGCTCCGCCCCTCCCCCCCTCCTCCTGCCTCTTCACCGCCGCGTATCAGTCCGCCAACGCCGCCGCCGCGAGCACAGGACGAATCTAAGGATGCTGGAAAACGGTTTACTTCTCACTTCCAGTACAGCGTGTCTGTGCTACCCCCTTTTCCTTTTTTTCAGAACAGCACCGTCTTTCTAAATAGATCGGAGGTTAGACTGGGAGGGCGGGGGCTGGAGGCGGGTCATGGGCTGGGGGGAAGGGTAGACGAGCGGCGGAAACTCTTAGACTCAGAGAAGCATCGAGAACCGGAAGGGGACCATGGGAGGAAGGTAATGGAAACGGCAGCTGCGCGATCGAATCCCACGCCCCTCCCAACAGAGTCCCCCAATTTCCTCACTTGGTATCGAGGAGGCGGGTCTCGCGAGAACCTCGTGGCTGGTTTACAGGAGCTGTAGGTCTGCAATGACTTAAGGGCAGTTTTGTGCGGTCTTCCGGGTGGGGGCCCGCCCCCAAATCCTCAAATTCTCGCGAGAGGTAATGAGGCACCGGCTCGTGTTGGGGCGGGCCTCGCCGGAGAAACACCGCCCATGAGTGCTTATGCTGGTGGAAAGAGGAAATGTAATTCTCTGGCTTGGTAGGAGCGCGCGCCGGCACATCCTTTTCTCACGCACCCAATCAGGAATGTGTGGTGGGAGGTACCATGGATTAATTACTAGATGCCTGTAGTCCTGGTTGACCCGGCTTTTGAAATTTCCGGTGTCGCAGGTGAGCGGTATTTACTCGCCTGCGGATCTGAGCCGGTTAACCAGTAGGAGGAAGCGCTCGTCGAATGGGAACAATCATTTAAAGTAGAACCTAGCGGACCGCTAATCAGTGCGCCCACCTGCCGAAATGTAGTGTATTTCTAACCCTACAGGATCTGAGAAGAATACTGAGAAGAGCGGACCTGAGACCTGTTCCCAGAATTAGAGCATTTTAGGAATCGAGCTCAACTGTGAATATATGGCGATGCAGAATAGGGAGATAGGTGCGGGCTGTTTTCTCTAATCAACCTCTACCATCCGCCTAGGTTTAAGTATGGGAATAGAGTTAATACTTTTTTCCTCTTGTTGCTTTGTTTCCGTTCCTAGAGCCACAACATTGTGAAACAATACTTACTGAAACATCCAGGGGAAGAAATAAGAGGATAGGATTGGCCTGTTTTAATCTGCCGAGTGCGAAGTATAGAGAGTGATTTCGCTCTATAGTGTTTCCTTCAGGCAAAGGTTAGTAAGACATTAATTTTTTAAAGGAATTTAAAAGTACTGACCTGCTTAAAGTTTTCTAACATTCTTTTAAATGATCCTACTTAAGAATTAAATGGAAATAAAAACTTGTTTTAAAAATATACTTAACTTTAAAAAAGGAAAGTAGCAAGTTATTTCCTGTTACAAGAAAGCATTACCTAATTAAAACTTCATAGGTCTGCGATAAATGAGCTAATGTATACTGTTCAGGTGACCATAATAGTGTCACTAGAGCAATCAGTGAAATAGTGCTTCTCAAGCTAGTATCTGTGCAAATCACCTAGGGATTTATTCAAAATGCAGATTTTGATTTAATATTCTAGGGCAGAGCCTGAGTTTTACCTTTCTTAAAAACTCTCAGGTGATACAAATTATTCTGCTCAGAGAACCTCTCTGTGAGTAGCAAAGCACTCTAGTGCTCACCTCATGGCCTACAGGATACCTCTGTCCCTCCTTCCATCTTTCCTTTGTTCTTTCTTTTAACCAGTTTAATATAGTAAAAATACAGGATTCGGCAGTTGGAGTGGAGGGAGAAATCCAAGTTTGTTTTCTGGCTCTATTCCCATATGTGTGATAGGGTGCACTTACTTTTCTTAGTTTCTTCAATGCTAAACTAGGCATAATAATAGATGTCCTTTCTCACAGGGTTATTGTGTGGTTCAGATGTCATAATGTATGTGGAAGAGCAGTGCAGGCTACAGTGCTGTATAAACGTAAGTTAATAAACTAACCAGACATTAACAGGCCACAGTGTAAAACAAATCTAAGAATAACAACATAGGTAATATTTATGGAACACTTACTATGTACCAGGTACTGTGCCTGTTAACCCCCTATGCAAATAAAGAAACTGATACACAGGGAGATTAAGTTCCTATCCCAAGAACACAAAGCTAATAAATGGCAGAGTATATATTGAATGGAGTTGTATATTGTCTCAATTTAGAAAGTAGGAGAGTAGGATGTTTTATATTTCTACTTTCAGTGCCATTCGAATCTAATTTTGACGCATTTCTCCCTCTGTTTTGTTCTTTCAGAAGCCAAGATTCAGGCATAGTAGGAAACATTCCTACCTACCCAGAGGGAACTCACAATATTCAAGAGAAAAGTGCTGAAGAACCCCATTTGTATTACCCTAATTTAAGCAAACTTCAGTATGAAAGTATAACAGAACACGTTAATTCTCTGAATTAACAGAGCACAGCAGGCTGAGACAGACTTGAGGTCAGAGTTCTTAATATTTTTGGTGCCACAAACTGCCTTTGCAGTCTAGTGAAACCATGGACTCATCTTAGAATAATGTTTTTAAATGTATAAAATAAAATTCATAGCATCATAAAAAAACATTTTGAAATAGAGTCTCAAATATTAAAGAAAAACATTTTTGGCATAGGAATATATGTGTTTTATTAACACAGTAAGATCAAATGATGGTCTAGTAAAGACCAAAATTTTGAAATAATGATGAACATAAATATTTTAAGATTTTGCAACATTTGTGATAAAAGTATTTGTGATTCCTATTGGTGACACAGACATAGATACAGCTAGTTGTTTGTTGCTTACATTCAACATTACATTCTAATTTCAGTTAGAGATTAGTAAAAACAAAGATGTAATTTGTGTTTTCATATCCAAGTTCACACACACCCTGATTTCTATTCATGAACTATGTGTTAAAAAACCTTAGGTAGAGTCAAGTAGGCTTATTCCTTTTGGAAAGCCTTGAAGGTATTGTGAAATTTAAAACAGAATTAATTCCTATCCATAGCAATAGTGATTCGTCAAGAAAACATTTAATTACCACCAGTATACTTTCTATAAGAAGGCATGTAATAGGTTTAGGAAATTGTTTTATCCAATATGTTGATTTTTTTTTTTTTTTGAGACCTATAAAGCTACCCTATGAAAAATTTACCTAACTAGAACAATTCATTTCCCAAGTATTCTGGGTAACTTAGGTTTTACTATATCACTTTTATTTATTACACACTGTTACAAATAAGATGTGGTAGAAGAATTGAAAAATGAGAGTAACAACCAAGGGTGAAATTAAAATGTTGCATATTTGAAATTGTTAAAAATAAGTGTTAATAATTATTATTTGAAGTACTATATGCTGGGTCTTTTAATTCATTATCTCATCAAATCCCCATTATATAGATGAAATACTCAAGGTCATAATTATTAAGTAGGAAAGCCAGAATTTAAACCTAGGCATCCTGACCTCAAAACTCACACTCAACCATTAAGCTGTTTTTTAGCCCTTTGACTATTAGCCAACGTTGATTTGCCCACTAGTACAATAAATATATATTCTCTGCCTCAAATATTTATGCATTCCTTACCATTCCAAGTAAAATTCCAACCAGTGACTAAAAGGAATTTTCTAAATTCTCTCTTTGCAGCAATATTGCTTATATTCAACCCCACTTTTAAATAAGTGGACTGCCAGTTGGTGCTGGAAAATATTTTGTTCTACAAAAAATTTCGTCGTAATGGAGTTTTGCTTAGAAGATGAATAATCCACTCATGCCCTTCTCTGTCCTACAAACATGCATCTGAAATTAAACCTTTGTTTTATAATGGTGCCACTACTTTATCAAGATAGTATACAAGCAACGATGACATGTAAATGAATCCTAGTATGTGAAGTTCTAGATTATCCATGTTTAGTGGAGACAAATGCTGGTATAACCCTAAATTCATTTCTATTTGGCACTGAAGTGAATTTTTTGGTCGATTATGCTTTCTGTTTATTTGTATTTACACTAGCAAACTTAACATTTTTGCTCAATTTTGCTAAGGTTAAAATTAAAAAGAATATGGCCTGGAAGCATTTTGAAATTTAAGGAGGTAGCCCAAGATTAGCTCAGACTTTAAAATAGTATTCACATATCTAATGTTATACAGAATCCAATTTATAATTACAAGTAAAGGTAAAGTTGACTTTCTTCACTTGACGTATTTAATTTACCATCTGAAAAAAAAGAAAAATAGTGTTTTTATATTGCATTTTCAATATGCTAAAAAGATTATGATTTTATGTATTGAAAGAAACATTAAAAAATGCAGGTACAAAATATTGAAAAGATAAGCTAAAAGCAATTTCATCCTTAATACTATATTTAAATCTCAAAAACTTTCTAATTATGGTAGATCAGATTTTCTTGCATGAATTTGCATGAAACAAAAGAAAATATAAAAGATGAAGAAAATTAGTATGAAAGTGGCAGTGGTATAACTAATCCAAATAATGAAGGTGTGCCAAAGTCTTAATATGTGAATGCATCATATGTATGTGAAGCCACATATAATAGCTTGAGTATAGGAGTTAATTAAAATATGCTTGTGAATAAATATAGTTAACATAGATTAGTACATATCTTTGATAGTATTTAATATTGCATGTGTTTTCAGACCTTTGTAACTTTCTCATAGAATTTTATAACTTGCTAAAGACATTAGCTTTAACACAGTGAATATCATTTTATTAGTTTAATTAAATTGTAAATGCCATAGTTTAGATTTTATATCCAAAATGCATGTTTATGTATTCTGCTTGGAGTAGGTAATTTAGAACATAAGTCAACCAAATGTTATTTGATATTGTTTGCATAAAAATCAAATGAGTTTCTGTATATTACCAGTTCAGAAGCTCATTTTTATGATCAAGACAAGGTAATGTGTTTAGGAAACTACTCTTTCATGATAAGAATATCATTTTGACCTTAAATTAAGATGTTTTTTAGTACATAATGACTCATGCACAAATGTTTGAGCTAAAAATAAATTTGAATATTTTCCACGTAAAAACCTGTACACATGAATGTTCAGAGTAGCATTATTCATAATAGCCAAAAGTGGAAACAACCCAAATGTCCATCAGCTGAGTGGATAAATAAAATATGCTATATCTATATGATGGAATAGTATTAGTTAATAAGAATGAGCACAATACTTCTATATGCTACAACATGTATCTTGAAGCTTGAAAATATTATTCTAAGTAAAAAAAGCCCGACCAAAAGGCCACATATTATATGATTACATTTATATGAAATGACTGCAATAGACAAATCCATAGAGACAGGAAGTAGATTACTGACTGCTCAAGGACTAGGGGTTGAGTAAATGGGAAATGAATTCTGAGTTATAGGGTCTTTTTGATGGAGATGATGCAGTGTTCTAAAACTAGATAATTGTAATATTTATACAACTCTGTGAATATGTTAAACCCCACTGAATTGTACACTTTAAAAGAGTGAATATTACGGTATGTGAATTATCTCAATGTACATTAAAAAAATTAATGAGAATCAATGTGAAATTAGTCTGGAAACACTGCTAAATATTTTCAACATCTCGTAATACTCTTCAGGTTACCAGTAATAAATGAGATGTAGCATCTTTGTAAAATGTGAAAAATTTACAGCCAGGAAGAGGCTTTTCCTTCAGTTCAAACAAAGCAGTTTAATTTAGTTTTACTATAATAATAAGCATTTGTTGTCTATTAGTCTTAAATTTGGAGTTATTTTCATCAGTATTATTTGTTTAATAAAGCAGTGATTAAAAATTTAAACAACATTTCATTGAAAATAAAAGTTGATAATTATGGCTGGAAATAGGAGAAGACACTGATTTTGGCATTCTCTAAATATAAAAAAGTTTTCTTTAATTTCAGATGAAATCAAGTAGGTTGAAAATCAGGGGTACTTATCCAGATAAGGATTAGGGTGAAATACTGTCAAATAACAAAACTAAAACACTTTTGTAACAAGTTTGATGTCCTTCATTTAAGGGAAAACAGTTCATGGACTAGGGGAGTCCGGTGCCTCACAGTGAGTGGAGCACTGTTCCCGAGGGATTTGGGGCAGGAGTGAGTTTCTTGGAGCATTAGAAGCAGTGACACAAAAGGCATGATTGGCTAGGAGGTCGAGGATTTCCTTGTAAGGCCAGCAGGTCCTGTTTCCTAAGGTAAGGTGAGCTATCAATGTAGCTGAGTTGGAGCATTGTGATTGGTGTAGGTTAGGTTTCCTTGACAGGTGTTGCCTGTGAGTGCAGGCTGACCTAGGTTTAGATCTGTGACATGGGCCAGGCCATTGGGGTGGCCTCCTTTTTGTGAGTCCCAATATATGAATTAGCTTTATCAGTACTTAACTGAAAATAAAGAGTTCAAATTAAAATTACTTCCAAACAATAATTATAATCTTTCTTGCTTCAATAACAATACGAAAGATCTAAAGTAAACGGTATAATTTAGACCAGAAATGATTATTTCACCAATACTGAATTTGATTTTTTAAATATATCTATGTGAGAATTCTTTAGTAAAGCAGTGATGATAAATTTAAAATTCTTTTGCTAAAGAATTTTTTTTCATTTTGTTTTTTAATAAAGTTTATTGGGGTAACATTGTTAATACAATTATATAATTTTCAAGTGTACATTATCATTTGACATCTGTATATTGTGTGCTTACCACCCAAAGCCCAGTTGCTAAAGAATTTTAAGTTAGGAATGATTATGGAATGTTGTACATAGTGACTCTAAAGGATCAGGTCTACATAGTATCAAAGTGATTTAATGGAGCCACTATGTCAGACTTTTAGTTTTTAATACATGCTACCTCTAAAAAAAAATACTTAAAGAATTTTGCCCATTTGGTGTTGAAGAAGTATGACAATTTCAGAGCTATCCCATTATCAAAGCATTGTAAATCTCAAAAGTTAATAATTAAGTAGTAATGAGATTGAGCTTTACCATATATACCTGGTAAGAGAACAGTATGACAGATTCCCATTCATACAAAAAGACCCCTCAAAAAAGAGCTCTGGGTGCTACAATGCCTGAAATTAAACTCCAAGACTTTTTTTTTTTTTTTTTTTTACGAAAAAGGAAAAAGTCCACAAGAATTAAGGTATTCACAGATTTATGTGAATTTAGCTTTCTTTGTTTTCCTTCTTTCTGTTCTCACTAATGGAGAGAAGGGGAAAATTACTTTGGAGCGTTTTAAGGTAGGGCTAAATGCCTACCACTGACTTGGATTGGGTGCTAATTAGGGACAGAAGGCAAGGTAAGAGGGACATTGCAGACTCAATGGGGAGGTGTGCAGAAGTGAGAGGGAAAACACCAGTGGTAAGCTTAAACTGTTTCTTTAGGGAACTGGGAATGAGGAGGAAACCCTTTTTTCTTCTCTGTGCTCAAGCACTTCAAGGTTTCCTACCCTAGAAAACAATCGGGCTACCACTATTGTTGCTCAGTTTTATGTAACTTAATTGCCTTTTTTATATTTGCCAGCTTGAAATCTAGTCACTGTAATGTTGTTCACATATAACAGCATGTTCTGCCTTATTTATAAACAGTTTTAGAAAACATCCATTTATAATGTGGGACTGCTTTTGATGCAGGTTGAGGCAAGACCAAGAGACTCATGCAGTGTGTCAATCGGCGATATTTAGGTCTGACTAAGCTAAGAAGAGCTCTTTCATTTTTAGGCTGAAGAAATTAATGTAATAGAGGTTTGTTAACAGAATCACTCCCAATCTCTTAAATGTTCATTAAAAAAATTTTTTGAATGCCAATATGTGCCAGACACTGAGCTAGATGCTGAAGATACCTAAAGACCCAAATGTCACCTTTAAAAAAAACTTAATTGGGGAGACCATTAAGCATCAGACAATTACATGGTGTGTTTGATGGCATAAATACATGCACAGAGTAATACTAATATACCTAATTCAGCTGGGAGTGATAAGGAAAAGTTTCACTGTAGAAGAGAGATGTCTTTAAACAAATGAAGGAAAAAAGAGACTTAGCTGGAAAAAGAAAAGGGAGGAAGGCTTCCAGACAGAGGGAACAACATAAAGTTTCAAAGAAGTTGACCGAGTATGTTTCCACAGTACTTTGGATGCAGTAATGTGTGTGTACGTGTGTGTGTGTGTGTGTGTGTGTGTGAGAGAGAGAGAGAGAGAGAGAGAGAGAGAGAGAGAGAGAGGCAGGCGAGGTGGGGGTGGAGTGGAGGGTGTTACTGGTGAGAGAAGAGAAAGAATTTGAGGGCCTTACCATGCCATGTTAGTTCAGATTTTATTATGAAGGGTATGGAATGGGGGCATTGAATTTTTAGCAGAAAAAAGTTTTAATCAGATTTCAATTACATAAAAATAACTATGATAGCAATATGGAAGATGTAAGGAAAGTGTTGTCGGATGGAGACTAGAGGCAAAGAGACCACGTGGAGTGCTGTTGAAATAATCTAGATGGGATATGATTCTGAGAAAGACCTAAAATAGTTGCAGTAATTGCACTAAGGACCCATAGTACAGGAAGTAAATTTAAATTAAAAATAAAGTTTATATGGTAAACGTAGAAAAATGTAAACTAATAAAATTAATATCTGCTACTTGATTTTTATTTTATTTTTTACAAATTGGTTCTGGAAGCAAATATAAAACTAACTACTACAGTTTAGGTTTTTTAAATTTGGCACGTGTATACTATGCTGTGGTCCATAAGTAATGATCCGTTGTCTCTACTAGAACCTTTAGGAAGCCTTTGTCATTCTCCCATTGATGTAATTTGGCTTTCACATTTCCAGAAAGAAGCATTTATTATTTATTTCTGTTCTCATTTGCCTAAGACAAAGTGCTATTACACGGTGCCAACAAGATCATGAACCTAAACACATACAGGCTCTGAAAACACACGGCAGTATTTAGTTGAAGTGGGAATTAAGGTGATCTGGACTATGCTTACATTAATTATTATATAGATTAATGAAATAAATCACAAAATGGAAAAAAATCTGGTAAAGGATTAAAAGATTCTAGTTTGAGAAACACCGATAGAATCTACAAAAATCCTTTGTCACATACCTAAAGTCTAATTTGTTGTTTGATGTTGTAACTCTCAAGTAGAGTTAAATGCTAGGCAGATAGGACAGACAAATAAACAGGATTTTAAAGGGAAAGTAAAGGAAGGAAAGGCTTATATACATTTTAAGTTTCATTCCTCTTCTGGAACTTAGAACATAATTTCTGATAGAAAAGTAGTCATGTCTTTAGGTCATCCCGCAAAGAGCTATTCTCTAAATCCAACCTCTCTGTATATGTGTTAGGTTCCTATGTGAAAATGCTTAACAGAGTTTCAAATTGACATAGTGGGAATGATTTACTCCTCTGTCCATCAGAATGAGGCATCCGACCTTTCTGTTTTATTAGCTAAAGTGATAAAGATTTGAAGAACTTCATTTGATCCTGGTTTCCTTTCTATCACCACCCCCAAGCCCCCACAACACAAAGTTAGACTTAATAGCAAATATCACAAGATTCAACTTTAAAGGAAAATTAGAAATGGTTACTTTAATAGTTTCCTTGATGTAACAAATTAGTACAAAATTTAGTGGCTTAGACAACAGTTAATTTCACAGATTTGGAGCTCAAAAGTCTGAAATGGGTCTCACGAGTCTAAAATCAAGATATAAACAGGATTGTTTCTGAAGATTGTAGGGCAGAATCTGTCTTTTTGCCATTTCCAGCTACTAGAGGCCACCAGTATTCCTTGGGTCATGACCCTCTTCCATCTTCAAAGCCAGTCGAGTCTTCCTCATGTCATAGCACTCTGACATACTCTTCTGCCTCCTCCTCTCACTTGTAAGGACCTTTATATTAGGGCCTACAAGAATATTTCAGGTCAATCTCCCCAGTTGAGGGCCAGATGATTAGCAACCTTAATTCCGTCCACAACCTCAATTCCCCCTTGCTATGTAACAACGTATTCACAGGCCCCAGGGACTGGAATGTGAACATCTTTGGTAGGGGCAGGGAAGGGGGTTACATTATTCAGGCTACTCAGCTATTTGTAATCCATTGGGTACTCGAGTTTAAGAGTAACTTCTTCACTCCATTGATTCCCACTTTATTCATCCAAAAAATATTTTACTACCTATTTCAAATATCAAGTGTCAAAATGGTATAGAAAATTCAAATATACAAGGATTAGAAATTTGTCAGATTTTGGCACCGAAGACTCATAATTTCAGCAAGGTGATGTTGACATAATTTCAATTTAAGTACGTTGGGATGTGAATGAAAGTGAAAAAATGGAAAGCTTGGTCATGATAGGAAACTAGGAGATATAGGGTATTAGCTTAGAGGAACTCAGGGTCAAAGGAAGATTTTTTTTAGAATGGGGTTTGAGTATGTTTATAGTCTAGAGGAAATCATGAGAGAGGAGATACAGAACAGAGAGATTAATGGAGCAGGTTTCTTCACAAGATGTGATTGTAGGTAAAAAATAGAGTGCAGATGACCCTTGAACAATACAGATGTTAGAGGCCCCATCCTGCCCCCATGATGTTGAAAATTCACATAAAACTTTTAACTCCCCCAAAACTTAATTGTTCCTCAATATCTGTGGGGGATGGGTTCTAGGACCCTGCAGATACCAAAATCTACAGATACTCAAGTCCCTGTATAAAATGGCTTAGACAATGCATACATTTGGTTCATGGACTCCCAACTGCAGATAGAAAGTACAAGTATTTATTGGAAAAAATATGCATATAAATGGGCCTGTGCTTTTCAAAC